CCGTTCTGGATTCAGAACGGCCCGTTCTGCTGCACTGGTGGTGTGTTAATTTTCGCATACGACCCGTTTCAGTTGCAAAATTAACACACGAAGAGTGCAACCAGAACGGCCCGTTCTGGTTTCCATACGGGCCGTTCTGGGTCCAGGTGTTTTCAAAAAAATGTCATCCACGTGGCATCCACGTATGCATCTACGTGGTATCCACGTGCCCAAAAGTTAACTCCGTTTAAATAATTTAGACGGAAGTCCCACATTGAAACCAATTAATTAATTTGAGACTAAATTGAAACCAATTAATTAATTTGAGACCAAATTGAGACCAAAAATAAAAGTGGGACTACATTGAAACAAAAAAAGATTATAAGGGACCAAAATAGGGTTTTAGCCAATAATTTATCTCAGATCTGTGCTAAACTTATAATTTTTTAAATAAAAAATTAATGATTTATGTAAAGAAAAAAAATAATGAAAGAACTTAATAATAGAAATTAACTTATTGAATGGTTAAATTTGATTAAAAAATTAGATAATTATCTTTTATATACCTACACTGCACAAAAGAATAATTACAATAATGTGTTTATTGTGGCCATATGACTACTCATTTCATTTCAAAATCTTACTGTAACAACATTGACAATAACTATTTTGTTCAACACCATCTTATACGTTTTGCATAAAGTAATTATTGAAATATTTCTTTTAAGGAAATAAAAAAAAATGAACACTAATGAACTACATGAGACTCCACATTAATTATTTTATCTTTGTATGCACAAGAACTATACAATGATAATTGAGAAGAAAAAACAGAATAAATCAAAAACAGTTTTAAAAAAACAAAAGAACTAGGGCCTCAAGAGGGACTCCTGGCGTATAAGTTGAGCATTATACATTGTATTTTACATCCACCCTGAATTAAATCTCTCTCCTAGCTTATAAAATAATAACAACAATAATGAACTTCATAAAAGAAAAAAAGGATCTCAGCACCTATGATGTTAAAAAACTGATCATCAACATCATCATAGTTCATGAAGTTTGAAGCAACTGAAGGTTGTCTACATATATAAACCAGCTATCTATTTTCGTGGTGAATTCTTAACACTGCACCTCAGTACTCATTAAAATGGATTGCACCAACTTTCCACACAATGTAAGTTGTAGCAAACATCACTGTGCTGATGAAAACAAATGAGAAGGCAATGAAAAAGAGATCAGAACCTCCAGGGAATTGGAAAGATAAGCCTGTTGACAACCCTCTTTTGCTATCATCAAACAAATTAGTAGGGGCTTCTGGAAGTCCTGATTTTTTCTTCCCTTTGTCACTTTCTTTTAGAGCCTCCAACACCCTCTTGTTCATGTCTGGTTTAGATGCTTTGGATTGCGTGTATCGGTTCCCAACTCGAGCTGCCTTTAGCCTCTCTCGTGCAGTCAGGGAAGGTCGTTTGGTCACAGATTGTGACTTAGAAGATGCTTCTGACCCTTGGTTTTGGTTAATTGAACCATTGGAACTGGAAGTCTCTAATATTTGAGATACTGACTCAGCATTTTGCAACTGGAAATTTTCATCAAGAGGATTCCTGGATGCTAACTGATCATTGGCTTGTGAGTCTTCAGCATTGTCAAAATCCTTGTTACTACTGTTGTTGTCTGCTGCAAGCTGATCACTATCTGCAACTGAAAAACAATGACCAAGTCTTTTATTCTTGACAAGCTTTCTTGATCTAGACACTACCAAGAAGGGTGTAAACTGAGTGGCCTTTGGTAAAGAAGCTCCAACAGAATATCTTGATGCATCCTGATACTTTGTTTCTAACTTCTGAAGGGGAATGAAAGACTTGAGTAAGTGATCAGAAAAATGACGGTTGATACTGACATAAATAAATCATACTAAAGTGATTAATAATTGTTGATAATTCATTACATGTAAGTCCGGCCTTTTTATTCTCAAGAATAACCTCAATATTTCAAAGTAGACTTGTGAAGGATTTTGATCAATAGCTAACCATCATTTTTAGTCATCTAACAGCTCTCTGAACAAGATATAGCTTAAGAATGGATTATAACATAACTGCAGAGCTACAATTAATTAATCTGCCATCACTCTGACAAAACAGGTACCTATCAAAGCTCCTCCAGCAAGAAAACTTGACAGTGTATATTGGTCAGTATAATGACATAAAGCAATACACTGGAACAATAGATATCATAAGAACTTCACCAACAACCGGTGAGTTACATGGATCACACACATCATTCAGTTCAATTAAATACCAAATCTCCTAACTTCTTCGGATGTCCTTTTTGGTCTCCCTCTATTCTTGTTGACTAAAAACCATCTCTTCTCACTAGTACTTCTAATGATCTTTGTAAATGTCTAAACCACCTTAACTGATTTTGTCATTTTTTTCTCAATCGGTACTACACTACGGTATGGCCACATGTTTATCTTAACATTATAAAAATTGCTTTTGACTTTGGTAAGTACTTTGGTAGCTATCACAATACATAAGAACTTCAACTAACGAATTTTTTTCATTCTTTACAACAAATTATTGTTATTTACCTCCATAGCAGCCCCAGTCAAATAATTCCTATTATCTAAAGTTTTGGTATGGATTCACTCCAATCTCTATATTTTCAGATTTTTCCTAAACCTCTACCTCTAACAGCCATCTTAACAAATCAATCTCCATTCCTTAAACACCACTTCTTACCATAGCTTGAATCCATAAACTTTTCTCAAGTCTGCTTAACTGAACGCTTACAATTCTTTGAATTGCAGATACTATATTCAAAATTAAATATTTCCCCAATTAATATTTTTTTTTTACACTTCTCCTATGTAACAAAAATCTAGGATATTACAGCACTTTCTATATTCATGTAATCCCATTAGCACCAAGAATTGTTAACTCTAAAGTCCAAACGAATAAAATCTCATCAATCTAAGTGTTCCCACTTAAGTTTGACGCATATACAAACCTTTGTGACAAATATAATTCAAAGATGCCCAGAAAGCTACAAACAATCCTCGGATAATACGAAACCAAAAGCAAACATCTGGTTTGAGAAAGCCATGAATGATCCAATGAAACTAGAACAGCACTTTAAGTAAAGTGAATGGTGAAGTGGGAGAACAGAAAACACGTACCGTTGAGCCGAAGCTCACGATGGGGTTTAAAGATATGGCCATCTTCTTAGTGTCTTTCAAAGCCCAACCATGGATAGCCACAAAGAGTGATCTTCTTACCACTAGATTGTTTATTCAGGACTGAAATTGCGGTTCACACACGCCACATTGCGCGTGACCACACGTATTGTTTCTTTTCGAAATAAAAGAAAATGATAAATTGCACATTTTATTTCTTTTTTATTTTCTACACAAGCATTTCTTCATTTATGTACGCAAACTTCTCCCGAGTTAACTGTCCTTTTAAAAAAAAAGAAGAAAAATAGATATTGGTCAAGAATTAATTGTTCTATTCGAGTTAAATTAATCTATAGATATTTATACTTTCAGTGGTTTTTAAATAGGTCTTTATGATTTAAATTTTTTCAAAAATATTCCTTATATTTCTAAAGGTCTCAGTATTTTATGTGTTTTTAAAGACATTCATTAAGAAAACAAAGAAAGTATTTTTCATAAAAGGAAAATAAGCTCTTCTATTAAAAATTAAAAATATAAATAAGAAGACGACATGAAATAATAATTTACAAATGCACAGTGATAAAACTTGTCTCTGCCTAAATTTTGTTTATTTAAGTAGAGTGTAACCTACATCTGAGACAAATGGATAACAAAAGAAGTTACCATTTAAAATATTGATTTGCGTAAGTATACACTGAATTAACTGGCATGTTTTCAAAATAAAGGATGCAATTTAAGAACTCATTATTATTCTATTCAAGTTAAATTACTCAATAAGTTCCTTTTAGTATTTTTATTAAGGTTCTTACGTTTCTTAAGATTCCTTATATTTTGAGTTTTTAAATAGATTCGTGAAATTAAGTAAAAGATAATGGTGGCTAGTACATATTTAAAAATAGAAAAATGCTAATATGTGTCTAAATAATGATAATGATTAAGAAACGCAAGTAAAAAATTTCAAATTTTTTTTATTAAATTTAAAACATGAAATATAATTAAAAAAATGCCTTTTGACTAATATCCTTTACATATTCAATAATAAGACTCTAAAAAATTTTAGGGGTTTAAAAACCACGCCAAAACTAAAATTCCTATGAAATTATGCAGTCATACAAATATTTATGTCCAAAAGGGTGCGTATGTTAATAATGTACAACCACTACTGTAACAAAAAACAGAATTTTTTTCTTCTTGACAGCTGAAAATTAATTCATTTTATTGCAATAGAATCATGAATAAAATGAGAAATGACAGTAAAAATCTCTTGATTGGCAACAGTATAAGACCTCCTAGCCAAAGTATGAGTCACACATTAGCCTGTCTTCTAATACGCTGAATTTTAAACTCAGTATTGGCTACCAACAATTGCAGAATTGCCTAATGTGAAGAATGAGTGAGCCAAACTCTGTCAAATCCTCTACAGCATTATTAGGACTTTCAAACAGAATTTTATGTATCAAATTTCAATGATAGCAGATTGGAAATTCATTGCAGTAAGTCATTCAACAGACTTTAGAGACGTAAAAGTCTCTCCTTCACGCACCTCCATCAAAAGATTTAGTCCAACCAGATCGAGCAACCACAGTCCCCTAAATCATCTCTCAAACATATGCCAAATCCAGTAACACCTGATTCTTGAAAAAAGGCTGCATCAACATTGCATTTCATAAAACCTGTTGGAGGCTTAGTCTACAAGACAGTTTCATTGCCAACCAAAGAATGGTTAAAGTTCTGAACTGATTAAGATTATAATGCGCATAACATTTTTTATAAGATCGTAAACTAAGTACTACAAGTGAAGCACCTTCAAAAATAGAAAATACTGTAAATGAATGCCTGGAATAAAAAATATTATGGCCGAAAGATTTGTCGGGTGCAAGGGATCAAGCACTAATAGTACCATGTATGTGAATTCAAAACCAAGATCAAACCAGAAATCAAGTGGCAATAAACCACGTATTTAAGATAAGATGCACACAACAGCATACCAACAAGCTTTAATGTAGCTACAAGGAAAAGTTGAATATATCTAGGCCATGGCAAACATGGGCTAGGAGTCGAAGTCGGTCTATTTCGTATTATACTTCGGACCATCATTTAATACATGAAAAATGGTTACATACAGAAAATCCTCGGCTAGCTCGTCCAAGCAGCCCAAAAAAATGCCTCAACTATAAAAAAAATATTACAAAATTATGACACAAACTCGAAATTATTTTCACTTGAACCTCCACCTCCATTAGAAGCAAGGAAAGAATACTGCATTAAAACCCCAGAAGAAAATGTGAAAACTCCCATACTGCTACGTCGCTCTCCGTATAGACTAGAGTTCATTGCCGAACACATGATCACCTTCTTGTCAGTAGCTGCTGCCCATGGGTGGCATACCAAAAGGAGGCATTGGAGGCATTCCCAATCCACCCATTGGAGGGGGAGGAGCAAAGCCTCCTCCCATTCCAGGCATTGGTGGTGCGGGCAAAGCAAGAGGCAACAACTGAGCATACATATTCTGCAACAGGAAAACATCATGAATCAGTATACAGTACTGTAAAGTTCAATCCATTTAGAATGTTTGATGACGAGATAAAAATTATCAAGTTATTAGCAGGAAACAAAATGGCCAAACTAATTACCTGTTGAGCAATTACTTCCTTCTCTTCTTGCTCTTTAGCCTTCACTTGGATCTGTGTTTCAATTTTGTCCTTCACCAGTTCATCAACTTTGCCAGTGTACTCACGGATAAACTACAACCAAAAAAGGAAGACACTGAGAGAAAGCACTGGAATAACACAATGAAAAAGACATAAATGGCAATGTATGATTTGTGTAAAAAACGTTAGGAACACAAGGAATACAAACCTGCAATAGATATGGGAAGGCGAAATCAATCATATTGTGCATCCAAGCCAATTCAAGAACAATGTCTGCCCGGATCAAATCATAGCAGACAAATAGACACGAGGCAAAGCATTCCTTCTTTCCCTGCATAAGCACGTGGAAAGAAATATTAGAATATATTGACCTTACTAGAAACTGGCAGAATAAATTGTCACAATAAGATTGAAAAAGAAAACAGTAACAATGCTAGTAGGCAGTTACCAATAATTTCTGACTTAGAACTGTATATGCCACTATGAGTAATACAAGTGTCAATGTTCAATAAACAAAACATTATGACTTAGCATCTTGGTCTTTTAAATAAAACATGTACGATAATGAGCCAACCCAAATCAAATATGCTGGGCTGTGTTGCGGAAAATGAATTATATGCAGCTGAAGTTGAATTTGGCACCTGATCAATGAAATAAACAAGTAACTCCTCAGCAAGTTCACGGTCACCAGATTGAGACGCCGTCTCCATGGCATCTTTGTAAAGGTTATCCTTCTTTGACAAGGCAATGGACTGCTTCCATCTACCTGCCTTCTTGTAAATATAAGCAGCAACACGTCTCATCTCAAGAAGCTCATGCTTTTCAATCTGTATTCCAGATAATAACGATTATTTTAATATTCTATCATGTTCATACATTTGAATTGAAAAATAGTCAACATGACGAATAAATGCAGCTAACCTTCTGTGCAAGGCCTATTTGGTCAAAGTTATCGTGCAAATCAATTGACTCACGCAATCTATCATAGTCCTCCTCCTCAACATATATTTCATTCAGGGCTTCATTAACAGCAGACACGTTGTTGCTCTGAACAGCAACCATGTATGGCTTGACAAGACGGAGATGACCAGCCTATGGTACATCACAGGGAAAACATTCATGAGTGAAATACAAAACAAGTTATTATGTAAAAACTAAGATCTAAAGAAATTGTTAACAATATTAATTCTACCTTTCGCATGATGTCAACAACACGTGCATGATCAACACGAAGTGCAAGGACATTCAGAACATCATTGATAAGATCTGGATGCTCTTGTAAATAGAAGTGAACAGCCTTGTAATACAACTCCACATTAGCAACTTTGACAACAACATCTTTGAATTGCATGTGATCCCATGCTTCGGGTGAATGGTTCATGATGGTTGTAGCAGCATTATCAAACTCGTCATATTGGATGTACAGATAGGTCAGCTCCTTCCAATGTTGTTGTTCATCACATGCTCTTATGAGTTTTGGAATATTGAGGCGGGTTGAAAAGAGTTTGATATGCTCCATAAGCTTCTCAGGACGGTATCTGGCATACAGAACTCCTAACTCGGTGAAGATGCCCATATGTGCCCGTTCTAATCCTAAACCACTCTCCATGAGGGATATTAACTCATTGAAGCAACCTCTATTTTGGTAATATTCACTGACCTCTTCCAAGTCATCCACCTACCAAATTCACAACAAAAATTGACATTAAGCATCAGAGAGACTATAAGCTCACCAATTGCAGACCCAAGTAATGCTCACTAAACCTTCCAACCATCACAAGCTCACAGCATATTTATATGGATATTATTTCCCCATTAGATTCTGAAATATCAAATTATTGAAACTGCCTAAATTGAAATCAGATGACAGCTGAATAAAGAAAAAAAAATCCAATTCATTTCAGAATATAGTTAATTAAAGAATTAACAAAAATAAACACATTACCTGAATAATAATGTTAAGTCCACATATCTGGGCCAAACGGAACTCCTCTGCATCAACACATGCGAAGCAAACTTCCTTCCATGTTTTTGAGCTGTTAGCTTTCCTTGCTGCATCAACTGCACCTTGGAATTGTTTCAACTTCACAAGTGTAACTGCTAACTTGGCCCAGTTGGATATAAAGGCAAATATGATTTTGGCAGCCTCATATAGTTCTTCATCATACAATCGGTCACCAACATTTTGAAGATTGGCTACATTTGGCATAAGAATGAACTCCTCAATTTCACTGAGCCTATCGATCTTTGCATATGCATAAATGAGCTCACTATCCACCTTGGGTTCTTTTGTCTTCTGCCTTACCATCAGCAAGTATTTCACCAAGTCATGGTAAACATTGCCATCTTCAGCAGCACGGATAACATCCAAAAACTGTGTGGCATCATCTGCTCTAATAAATGACTCAATTGCATCACTTACTAGCCCTTCCCTTAGTTGAGCCTTGGCCACCTGACTCCAAACAGCATCTTCTTCAACTCGGAAAGCAAACTCCACCGCTCTATCAATGCTATGAATATTATCTAGCAAGACATTGAC